AAAAAAAAAAAAAAAAGGGCAGTGGCTCAAAGGAGGACACTGGCCCCATATGCCGGAGATGGCGGGTTCAAACACAGCCCCGGCAAAAAACTGCAAAAAAAAAAAAAAAGATCAATGGCATATTCTGAGTTAAGCTGGGTCTGAGCTAGGCAGTCCAGATAGAGGCAGAGCAACTGTACAGCCGATATATGAACCAGCTGCATAACAGACTCTTACTCATGATAGCTGCTAAAGAAGATTCTGGCACCTTCCTTCCCATTACCACAGGCCTGATGAGGCTAAAATAATCATGACCCTACCAATTGCTACAAACATAAAGGCAAATTCAAAACCAACCCCTCACCGCAGCACCAACAGACCACAGCAGCTACTGCTGGGCTGATAAACATATATACCATAAAAAAAGCCCTTAGCAGGAGGAACACAGAGACCCTCAGATGCCAGCCGTGCTGACGTGCTAATGTGCTGGGGAATATGGATACGTGTTCCCATACACACTTAGGAGAGACAGCCAAGGCTTTACATAAGATGATATTTATATCTGAACAACATGCTCCAAGTGCCAGGAGCTTCAGGAGGCAGCCTGGAAAGAGGCCACCAAGGTCTCTACAGCTAGTTTCTTGAGGCAGAATACAGAGACCCCCTAGCCTGCACTGAGATAAAGGCTGCCCTCATCCCCACCTGGGACAGATCAAGCAAAAGAAGCCACTGGCACAAGGGGAGGCCAGAGGGAGGGTATACACAGGGAGCTCAGGGCTTCACCAGCATAGCACCACCAAGGCAAAAGTGTTGGCATATATATACCACATCAAGGCCTGACCCCTGGCCAAGCCCGTGGAGGAACAGAAGCTCTCCCCATGAAGGGAAACAGAATCCTCACTCCACATGCCAGAAATACCAATAAATACCTAGAGCCATTTACTCTAGGAGGGAGCTTGGCCTGGCACACCAGGCTTTGGGAGATGCCCTAGACATCAGGACCCATCCTGCCTTTCCCCATTTGCTCTCCTGCATAATGCACTGGCCAGGCCAGCCTCTGCTCCCATGCCACCCTGCTTCTGTAGAGGTGGTGGGGAGGCAGCAGTCCAGGGAGGCCTCATCTTCAGAACCATCCCTACATGATTGTCCCTCATCAGGGCACAGCTATCTCATGAGGGGTAAGCCTCCCATCACAATCTCCTAAACAGCAACTATCCAGAAATGATCCACTTTTATCAACTTCAAAACTGCAGACCTAGGCTCGGTGCCTGTAGCTCAAGTGGCTAAGGCGCCAGCCACATACACCTAAGGTGGCGGGTTCAAATCCAGCCCGGGCC